TACAGATCCATCTACAGTAGTCTATGACTTTTGATCAAACTAATCAGTAGTTCTCCAGCATAGTAATACAAATGCCAGCTATCTAGGAATTATGAATTATGACAATCCTACTGCTATAGTTGGACAGTGTAGGTCCATCAGGTTAAAATGTATAGTTAGAACAGTTTCTTATCTTTACTGTTTTGTCACTGGGTATGTAGACAAAGCCAATCAACTCCAAATTATCTTACCCAGATTAGTTAACTTATTCATTAGTCAGAAAGTATTTATTAAATGCTAATTGTGTACGAGGCATTATGGGAACACAAAGAATTAGAGGGCATGGCCTTAATTTTTTTTAAAAAGACTTTTTAAAGAGCAGTTTTAAGTTCACAGCAAAATTGAGGGGAAAGTACAGAGCTTTCTCATATGCCTCTTGCTCCCACACACGCATAGCCCCACCCATTATGAACATCCCCCACCAATTGTACTTTTGTTACAATTGATGAACCTACTAACTCACTGAAGTCATTTGGCTAAAGGTCAACTGTAAAGAAATCACTGTTTACTGTGCTTATTATTGCTCCTTATGTATACCGTCTGAAGAAATTCAAAGGACAAATAGGTAAGAAATGGAACGTGGAGTTTACACCAATCTCGTACTTTGGACTAAAACAAATAGGCAAAGGCCAGAGTTTAGGTCATAAGAATTATTTTGGGGGGCTTAAGATATTATTCCCAAAAGAAAATCTTAGACCTGTGAAGCATCTGTTTGCTACTACTTTTGCTCTGAGGAGAGAGTGTGGTTGTCACAGGAGCATGAGGCCCACGGCTGAGGTGAGGAAGCTGCCCTCTGCTGAGAGCGAACAGCTGCCGCCAACGCGGCGACAATGCCACTGACGAGAGCTGTGTTAGTCTCCTAGGGCTGCCCTAACAAACGGCCGCAAACCAGACGACTTCATACAACAGGCATGTTTTCTCTCACAGTTCTGGGGGCTGAAGTCTGAACTGAAGGTGTGGGCAGGGTTGGTTCCTTCTGGGGCCTCGGAGACAGACTTAGCTCCATGCCTCCCTCCTGACTGCTGGTGGTGGCTGGCGGGCCTCGGTATCCCCTGGCCTGTGGGAGCAGAACCCCGAGGCTTGCCTCTGTCTTCAGAGGGTCGTCTTCTCTGGGTGTGCATCTGTTTTCTTTCTTTTTAAAAATATGTTTTTCTTGATTTCAGAGGGGAAGGGAGAGGGAGAGAGAGAGAGAGAGATAGAAACATCAATGGCGAGAGAGAATCATCAATCGGCTGCCTACTGGGGATTGAGCCTACAACCTGGGCATGTGCCCTGACCCGGAATCAAACTGTGACCTTCTGGCTCATGGGTCAAAGCTCAACCATTGAACCACACCAGCCAGGCTGCATCTCTGTTTTCTTATAATGAGCCACTGGACTAGGACCCACCCTTCTTTAGTGTGACTTCATTTTTTAAAAAAATATATCTTTATTGATTTTTCACAGAGAGGAAGGGAGAGGGATAGAGAGTTAGAAACATCAATGAGAGAGAAACATCGATCAGCTGCCTCCTGCATGCCCCCTACTGGGGATATGCCTGCAACGAAGGTACATGCCCTAGGCCAGAATCGAACCTGGGACCTTTCAGTCCGCAGGCGGAAGCTCTATCCACTGAGCCAAACTGGTTAGGGCAGTGTGACTTCATTTTAATTAATTACATCTGCAAAGACCCTATTTCCAAATAAGGTCACATTGGCAGGTACTGAGGTTAGGGCTTGAACGTATCTTTTGGGGGAGCCATAATTCAACCCACAACCGGAGCCCTCATCAGTGTGTTGGCAAAGACACCGACACTGAACAGGGAACTCTGCACATTGATCAATTTACTTGGAGTTAAATATAGCGCTTTCCTTTTCCAGCCTGGCAATGCGCCTCAAGCACCCTCTGTTGGCAGAGTTTAGCATGTAGCCAGGCTTTGGGGAAATGCAGTCTGCAGAGCAGAGAAGGAGTGTGTGTTTACCGCTCAGGGGCAATAAATGCATAACAGCCACAGGCCCAAGTTTTGTCTACTGTGAGGTGAGCCTTCCCTATGGTAGTTTGATCTTGATTACGAAGCTCAGCTGTGGGACTGTGACTTGGGAAGATTCCAAATAGAGGAGACACTGAGGTTGAGTCCCATAGGATATAGGAGATGGGAGGGTGTCACAGAGAGGAAACATCTTGGGCAGAGGGACCAGAATGAGCAAAAGCAGATCCTAGATTGTCACAGAAGCCTGGAATCCATGCTACGGTATTTGAGAATGAAGTTGGGTAAGAGCAACATGACCACATTTGTAATGTAGACAATTTCCTTTCTCTCAAAGCAGCGTGGGGACAACTTCCCTTGGGAAGGAGAGCCCTGAACAGGTGGCAAACAGCTTCTATGGGGACCTTGCATGGAGGAAATGGACCGGGAAACCTGCATAACTCAAGAGCCCCCATGGGAGGCAAGGCTCAATGACAATAATCAAATGTTTCATACACAACATTGACAGGGTCCAATGGGGCGATGGCTGGCATCTCAAACACAACATGTCTCAAGAGAGTGCATGATCCTACACTATAAATCTACTGTCCTTCCATGTTCCTTATTTCAGGGGTGGCGTCCAGTTGCCCAATCCAGAAACCTGGGCATTATCATGCCTCATTCTCCTTCACTCCTCCAGAACCAATGATTAAATACCACCCATGTTGCTTCATAAATCTATGTCAGCTTTTCTCTATTCTTTTTCCATTCTCAGTGCTCTGTTGAGACAGGCCTGTAGCATCTCTCACTTGGATTCTTATAACTGTCCCAATTCATTCTTATAAATGCCCCCACTCATTTTCTCAGACAGAGTAATTATTCTGAAAAGCACATCAGAAGGTGCCGCTTTACTACTTGAAAATTCCACGCTGTCTTTCCATTGCTCGTAGGATCACATGCTCTGCTTTTGCTCACTCTGGGGACTCTGCCCAACATGGAATAAAATGGCCGCTCTGGCCTTTTCCAGTTTCATCCCCTCTATTCCTCATCTCCACCTACTCTTATATGGGCTGCTTTTATTTCTTGGAAAGCTTCTTTTTATTTGCCTATGTCTCATTTTCTTCTTCTTGGTACTTATGTTACAACTTCCTTATCCCAGAACTCCTCCCTCACTCTCACCCTTCAATTCATCCTCTATTTGTCCTTCAAAGTCAGTGTAGATGTGAATTCCTCCTGGAACTGACCTTAATGACTGACCCTGACTATAATAATTTCAGGTTAGGTGATTCTCCTATGTGTTTCCATTAATTCTATATCTCTCTCATGTATATTTGATATATATTGTATGGTATATGTGATATAATCATATATCTTTACCTTGTTTCATTTTCTTTTTTAAAAAAGTGTTTTTATTGATTTTCAGAGAGATAAAGGGAGACGGAGGGATAGAGTGATAGAAGCATCAGTGATGGGAGAGAATCATTGATGGGCTGTCTCCTGCATCAAGCCTGCAACTCCGGCTTGTGCCCAACAGGAATCTGACTGTGATCTTCTGGTTCATGGGTCGATTGATGCTCAGCCACTGAACCACACCGGCCGGGCTTGTTTCATTTTCTTTTCTTTCTGTTCTTTTTGTTAATCTTCACCCAAGGATATTTTTCCACTGATTTTTAGAGAGAGTGGAAGAGAGAGGGAAAGACAGAGAGAAACATCGATATGAGAGAAACACATTGATTGGTTGCCTCCTGCACAACCTTGACCAGGGTCTGGGCCAGAAAGGAGCCTGCAATCAAGGTACCTGCCCTTGACTGGAATCAAACCCATGACCCTTTGGTTCACAGGCTGATGCTCTATCTACTGAGCTAAACTGGCTAGGGCTTGTTTCATTTTTGTAAAAGAACTTATTAATTACATATTAAACTTTATTTGCTTATTATCTCATCCTTCACTAGAATATAGGAAAAAATTTATTTCTTGGAAAGCTTCTTTTTATTTGCTCCTCCAGGTCAAGAACCTTGCCTGCTTTGCTCACCACTATGTCCCCAGTGCCTACAACAGTGCCTAGTAGTTCATAGTAGAGACTCAATAAATATTAACTGAGGGAATGATAGAAACAATTTTTTCGAGGCAAAGATCTTCATGTTACTGTATAAGCTCATGTAATATCTAGGACACAAATATTTGGGTAACCCAAAATTCAAATTTAACTGAGCGACCTGTATGTTTTCTGGCAACCGTACCCTCAGAACACACTTGGCAATATCTGGAGACATTTTTTAATTGTCACGCCTGGTGATGGTGTGTGTGTGTGTGTGTGTGTGTGTGTGTGTTTAAAGGACAGGGATGCTGCTAACCATCTTAACAATGCAAAGGACAGTCCTACAAGGCTAGGAATTCTCCGGTCCAAGGTGTCAATAGTGTGGAAGTTGAGAAACCCTGAATACATAGTCATGAATGAACGAACGGGTCCCTAGCAGGCAGGCAGCACCTAGAATCTCTAAATGCATCTTCCTTTCGGAATGGCAGCATGCGGTTAGTGAGAGGAAGGCGTCCGGGGTGCAGACCAGGCTTTAAGATCCTGCGCACACATCCTGATGCTGACAACCAGAGGGCAAGAGAGCCCGACTGACTACCCAGTGCAGCAGGTGAAATCGTGCTGCGGAAAAGATCGCGTGTGAAGGGCCTTGTGGATGGGGCCGCGCTCTGCGCACACTGGTTATGCTCTTTTAAATCCGACCAACACCAACCCTCTGGCCACTGGGGGGAGGAAGGCGCGCGGGGATAAAAACGGAAGCTGCGGTCCGGCTCGGGCGTCCTTCCCTAGCAACGGTCGCCAAGAGCGTGGCGGCGGCGGCC